TGTAAGCTTTTGATCGAGTTTTTGTTATATGTTGGTATTGTTGTAGCCTACAACAATACCAACTAATTTGTTGAAATTTTTCAATAGAACATCGCTGTAAGATTGCTTTTGACTACAAAAAAAAATCCCTTTTTTCACCAATAGCCCAATATCAAAATGTACAAAGGTACCGATCGAGTGACACTGCTTTAAAAATTTATGCAATTAAAAAAAAAATCAACAAATTTTCGTTAAAATTTCGAGGTTTTTAATTAATTTCTGAGTATGCAGTTTTGTATCGCATTGAATTCTAGTAGAATAAGTACAAGTTTGAAATGGCTAAAAATTTCGATTGATTGTTTAGAACTTCTAAAAAGGTCGAAATTTGTACGAAAGTTTGCAGAATTTTTTTTTTAATATGGCACAAATTTGGAAACTTGGATTTACACGGGTTTTGTTAAGGAAAGAACTGTATTTTTATAAAAAAAATAACAAAAGTTCAACAACAACAAAAATAATACGTTAGAACTTGGCAAAAAGTGTATCGGCTACAATTTTTTTACCACTGTATGTATGGCTGCCAAGCTGCCAATCTGAATTGCAGCAGCACCATATTTGGAAAAAGAACGATGCTGCTGGCGTATGATGATATCGATATCGTAGGTCTGAAGCAAAGGGACGTAACCGCAGCATTTTCCAGTTTAGAAAAAGAAGCTGAAGAGGTTGCTCTAGCGGTGAACGAGGGCAAGACAAAGTACGTCCTGGCAACATATAAAGAGTCCACGCTTTTCGGGACACACGTCACTGTTGGCAGATATAACTTTGAACTAGTGAAGGTTTTTGTCTACCTAGGATCCCGCATAAACACCACCAACAACGTCAGCCTGGAGATCTAGCGAAGAATAACTCTTCCCCACAGGTGCTACTTTGGGCTCGGTGTGCAATTGAAAAGCAGAGCCCTCTCTCGACGAACGAAAATCACGCTCTACAAATCTCTCATCATGCCCGTCCTTTTATATGGCGCAGAAACTTGGACGATGTCGAACAAAGATGAGAAGGCTTTGGTGGCTTTCGGGAGGACCATTCCACGCAAGATCTACGGCCCTGTTTTCGTAGACGGCGGGTATCGGAGAAGATGGAATGACGAACTATATGAGGTTTTTAACGACATGGATATAGTTAAGCGCATAAAAATGCAGCGATTACGCTGGCTTGGACATGTTGTACGCTTAGATGACGACGCTCCAGTGGAAAGACCATTCGACTCCGCACCCATGGGTGGACAACAAAAGCAAGGGCGCTCACGAACGCAATGGAAGAACTACGTGCAGAAGGACCTGTCTGCGCTCGGGATAACCAACTGGCGCAAATTTGCACAGGAGAGAAGCAATTCAGAACACCTACAACCCCGCCCCCCCTAAATACGGTCTTGCATACAGACATAGTATAAATTCGATAATAATGCAATTGCATTAGGTGAGTTACAAATTAGGTGAGGCGCAAATTTGCACAGGAGAGAAGCAATTCAGAATACCTGCAACCCCGCCCCCCTAAATACGGTCCTGCATACAGACATAGTATAAATTCAATAATAATGCAATTGCATTAGGTGAGTTACTAATTTATTCGAAAAAAACTGTTCATTTAGGTAAATACAACATGTTTGGAAACTTCCATAGAAATTGTTGAAATCAACTACTATGGTCAAAGTTGCAAAAAATTAAGAAAAATATGGGCTTATTAAAATATAACCCATGAAAACATCCAACAAGCTAAGTCTAACAATATATTGTTATACATCGTTTTAAAGGTCAATCAATCTTCTTTACATTTCAAAACATTTTTGGTTTTTAAAATGCGATGGGAAATAGTCAAGCTCTTAATATATATGCACTATCAAGTACGAACATAACGGTTATTTTGAAATAAAGAAATGGAGGGTTCAGGAACTATACGGAACCAATTTTCATGTTGTACTCGACCATAGCTACAACCTACACTAGGTTTTGTTTCGGTGTATTTCATGACTTTTTTGTAGCACCGTATAATTTATAAATGATAGAAGATATAGCTGCTATTTCGGAGATCACCATACCTCCTCATAAGACTTCTTCTGTGGGATTCGATCCAACGACCGAAGCTGACTGAGCCAGTGATCTACCCACTGTGCTAAGGTCGCCATATAAGCTGTTGTTGCTTTTTCCACTTTTTTCATGAGTTAAGCAACTACAATCAAGCGCAGCTATTCCGCTGCTGTTTACATTTGATCATATGGTTGTTGGTTTTGTTGGTTTTTGTTAATAATTCTATTTTTAGAATGTTTAACTTTTAGGTGTTCTCGTCTTTAAGTTTTTTGTTTTTGTTATTTATGGCTGTATAACGATTATATTCAACTATTTTATTGAACTTGAGGCCATTTCTAATGAAAAATATTTTGTAAAAACAACAGTAATTTATAAATGGTACATGCAGAGATAGGGTGATCTTCGAAATAGCAGCTATGTATAACTTCTACCATTTATAATTTGTTGTTTTTCCGCAATAGCTTTCATTAAAAACGGCCTCAAGCTCAATATTTATTAAGAATACAATGTAGAAAGCAAAATATTCAAATTATGGTTGTCGACGTCGATGTCATTTTTTATGATTACATCGAAGTCGACGTCGATAGCCATAAAAGGGCCGATTAACTCAAAACCGTCACGATCTTTTAGGAGTGCTGAAATTGATTTATAAGCAGCGTTAGAATATTCTGTTTCCAGTCAACGGTGAGCGTTCGCTGTTCAAGTTGGAAAAGTTAGAGGGACTGTTATTTGGAATATTCTCTATCGAATGTGACTAGAGCTGGGTCGTAATGATTCCTTTAGGAATTAAATTACTCCCAATTACAAATTCCAAGGAATTGTAATTAGGAATCAATTCCTTCAGTCCACAGCAAAGGAATCGATTACTTTCTCAATTCCTTGAAGAAATTTCAAATGTAACTGTCTTTTTTTAATTCCTTTACAAGAAATTTCATGTTGTAATTGGAATAAATTACGTGCTAGTAATGTAAATTTTTTTCCAAGTCCTTTGAAAGGAATTGAAAATGTAATTGATTTTTTTTCAATTTCATTACCTGGAATTGCAAGAGTACTTTAATTTTTTCAATTACTCAAAGGAATTGTAAAAGTAATCGACAAACTGAGAGCTTATTCACGAATGTAAAATGTGGAATTTTTGTTGTGGTCAAAGATTAAAATCGAAAGCACACATTGAACAACTTCTATCTATATCTATGTATAAAGCGTATACATATATAAAAAAGTTGTGTTCGTTTGTACGAGGCCTCAAAACTCGAGAACGGCTGAACTGATTTGAAAAATTTTTTTAATTGTTCGGCATAATACCGGAATCATTAACGACACAAAAATTTGGAGGGTTGCCACTTGTTTGAAATTTTTAAGCTCAATTAAACTGATAAAATAAATGAACTATTGCAATCCGGGTATCAAATTTAAGAAGTTTAAAAAAGATAACACCATTGGATATAATCTTTAGGAGTGTTGCCACCTATTTGAAAAATTAAACTCAGTTAAATTGATAAAATAAAGGAAATATTGCAAAGTCCTGACTGTTTTTCACTGAAAGGCGAGTATGAAAATATTCGGGCGGGTTATGCCTGCTTCGGGTCTCATCTGCCGCGTAGCGCGTTCGAGGTAGGATCTGAAAAATTTGCCCTATAAACTGAACAGCTACAGTTTAAGTTATTCAGCTTTCTTAAGGTCTAATTAGTAATACTACTTAGGTATAAGTAAACTTTTTTTATACATTTTTCGATTGCTTTTTAAATTACTTTGAGGAATGCAATTCGAAAAAAATCAATTACATTTTCATTCACATTACTAGCACGTAATCTATTCCAATTACAATATGAAATTCCTTGTAATGGAATTAAAAAAACACAAACAATTCCATTTGAAACTACTTTATGCCTTCTTCTTCTTCTTTTTTGGCGCTGTAACCGCCTAAGCGATTTTGGCCGAGCTCAGCAAAGCACGCCAGTCGTTTCTCCTCTGTGCCAACTGACGCCAATTGGAAACGCCAAGTGAAGCCAAGTCCTTCTCCACCTGATCTT